AGTAGTAGTACTGGCAGCAGCAGCAGTAGCAGTAGCAGTAGCAGGAGAAGAAGAAGAAGAGTAGTATTGGCGACATACAAGCAGCAGCACTAGTAGTAGTAGTAGTAGTAGTAGTAGTAGTAGTTGTTGTTGTTGTTGTTGTTGTTGTGGTCGTCGTCGTCGTCGTCGTCGTCGTCGTCGTCGTCGTCGTAGTCGTGGTGGTGGTACAGTGGTAGTAGTATCGGTAGCTGTGGTAGGACTCGTTGCAGTCGCAGGAGCAGTAGAAGTAGTAGCAGAAGAAAGTAGTGGCAGTAGTGGTGCGACCAAAGCACGGAAGGCCGTCGTACCACAGGCCACAGGTTACTTTGGGCGCAGGCTCCTTGACATGGACAGGTGCCACCCTGATGTGTAGCTGGAGAGGAGGCCTCCAGTCAGACCAGAATACGATCTGAGCACAAAATTGAAGAACGCTTCATGAAGACGCAACAAAGCCCATTTCCATGAAGCCAACAGGAGGACCAATCTGCTCGCCTTGACCGCTCCAGCCAGGAGATCCGCCGTGCCCTGACCTCCTTTGCGTCGAACCGCAGCCTGAGGCGCAGCGTGGGCAGAAGGCCGGCTTGCGGGGGTGCAGCCTTCGAAAGGTGTTTTGGGAGGCGCAGCGTGGCCGCATTCCTTGTCCTGATTGTGACATGTAGAAGCAGGTAAGACGACAACAAGCGCTCCTTTGTTAGCAGTTGCAAGACGAGTATCAGTAGAGATAATCAGGAGCGTGACGTAAAAAAGGCCACTTTGACATTGTCAGCAGATCACACGCCATTCGTACCAAAATATTTACGAGGAAAACTCGGCGCTTCCGAATGGGCAGTCGTCCATACGCGCCTCGTTCTGGGAGCGTCGTGAGGCGGGGATGGGATTCTGTTTTGCCGCATTTAGTAGTATCGAGTACTTACAGAATATGACCAATGCAGCGCATCATCATATTCGAGGACATGCAACAAAACGGGTAAGCATATTACCATAGCATCATCATTCTGCCTCTTTGCTTTCTCGTGGCTTTCAGGGCTATGGGGACAAACATCAGTCGCTTCCTCGAGCAGTTGGGTGCAGCCGGCATTACCCTGGAGGGTTCCTTCCTCAACATTGGCGCACCTGGGCAGTCACAGAAAATCGATGTCCCCGTCCTTAGGCAACGGCAGCAAGAAAACAACAGCAGGAAAAGAGCAAGACAAACTGCGGAGGCAATAGCAGTCTGACGACTATCAGAATTCTCAAGACTCAAGACATCACCAGCTTCCGGACGCGAGGCCAACATCAACGATCATCATGGAGCAGCACTCTTGGCAAGAGCAACAAAGCAACGAAGATAACAGTGAGAATGATATCACTGCGCATTCAGAAACAGCAATGCCATATCACTTTGACACCTAGCAAGCTGTGCTAGCAGCTTCAAAGCTTTGTTTAGAGTATCCAGGCAGCAGCGACAAAACGAAAGCAATAATAACTTTCCTGCAATAATACCAACAAGGCACAACAGCAATAGTAGCAAGAGCCAGAAGAACAAGTACAAGCAGAATCGCTCCTCATGTGCAATCGTCCGGCCTATGTTTTCGGTGTGTCGGACTTTGATTCTTTAGCTTCAGGAAGTTCTGCAAGGACGCACGTGAGATCACCTACAGCAGAGATAGTACCACTGGAAGCAATGGATTCGCTCTTCGCAGCAGCAAGGTCAGCACGCGCGATATTCATGCATTGCCGCCATTATGTAAACCGTGTTCGTGACTACAACAATGACACTAGGAAGAACGTGCACAGCGTTGCTGAAGGTATCAGCAATCGAACATTCGCAGCAACTAAAGCATCACGAGCGAGAAACCAGAAACACAGGCATCACGATAGCAAGAGTATGAAAGTCCACGAACACGACCCATTTCGACCGCAGCAAGGGGTGGTGCTCTTTCAGCAAATCATAAACAACCCGCTGCTGTTGATTGATGGGACTGCTGCGCAAGAGTACAAATGCTGACACCAATGCCAAGTGTGAACATGACACTTGATATGTTGTGTCGACCAGTTACCCGAAAAGCCAGTTAACAATAACTACTGCGCCCGTAATGTAAGAATGGCGAGCAACTCCGAACAGAAAAAAGTAACCAACGCAAACAATATGAGGCAATAAGGATCGTACACACAGCAAATTTGTTGGGTGTAAAGCAGGCTCAACAGGATGATCAGTGGAAGCGAAGAGCAAGCCAGTCAGGTAGAACGGCGGCTCGAATGATGAGAATGATTCTCAGGGCACTCAAGGCAAAAAGCGAGCACAGGAACACAAATTGAGGAAGGATGATCTTAGTGATTCTGTTTGACGAAGCACAACAGTCGTTTTGAGTACTCGCTACTCAACGCTGTCCAAGCTCCACTCGCGTGTGATTTCCAAAAAAAAAAACAAAGCAGTTCTAGGCCAACGACGGGATCGGCGATGATCCTTTGGCCCACTATGCCCAGAGCTCACTGGTGAAGGCCTCCCCTTTGGGATGCTGTGATGCCCCCAAACCCAGAGCATGCAGCTGTGGACATGAGAATGTTGGGACTTAGGATGGGGTGTCCCCTACAGTTCGTGCCATGCAGTTGTGGCTCTGTTGCAGTTTTGCTGCCTGTGAGGCCACCGGCCTAGAACGAGAAGGCTCCAGAGAGTTTAGCTCGTGCAAGTGCTCGGAACTGACCAGGAGAGTGGTGCTGCAGTCGCCATTGAGGCGGACGAAGAGCTTTGTGCACCTGGGATTGGCAAAAGGGCCAACTCGAGGTTCAAAGCTATCAGTCGTTACAGTGTTGCAGCATCCGGTGGCGGCTCCACACAGCGGTGCCAGGAGCTGTAGTGTCCAACTGAATGCCAAAGCCTGCCGATTCCCACGGGCCTAGTTTTTGATGGGACACTGGAGAGGCAGCAACTTTCGCAGATGAAGCGTATTCGGATTTCTCCTTGGCGTCTGCTTGCGTCGTAGAGCTTTTTTTCGCGGAAGCCGGCTGAGATCTTCCCGAGGCGCAGCACCGGCGGAACCTTCCCTGGGTGGCCCTGCACTGCGGCTTCGCCGTGCCATCCACGCTGAGTGCCTGGATGCAAATCTCTTAAGCCTTCGTGTACGGCCTCTTTGCGCGTGGATTGTGAAGACCACAAGTTCGAGGGTGCGCAGCCAACATACCAAGATCATGTTCTGGGTTCGATTGTTGAAAGATGCCACTGGCTCTCGGTTTCATATCCAACATGCGGGGCAATATGCACCATACTCATCTCCGATTGACATGTGATGGCAATGTGCAGCACTGGACTGCCATGTTGGCGTATTCTGCCTGCTAGTATGGAAGATCTCTTTGTTTCTCGTCTCATCTCAGAACGGACTCCCCGCAGGGTCTTTGCTGGGGCCACTGCCCTGGAGGAGGCCATGCCTGCCCGCGCTCCAAACGAGTAGTTGCTTTCCAGAAGGGATTCAGAGCGTTGAGGGTGAACGAGTCCGATCACGCAAGACACGCACAAAGAAGCAAAAGCTTTGCAGAGAGGCTCAGTCTCAGATGGAGCGATGCATGTTGAATGGTCGTTCTAGTACTGGCTTTTGAAAGTCGGCTCGTTGTCCCGCAGCCCTTGAGTACGATCTTGTCAGTTAATCTCAGAAGGTTGAACCGAACCTGCCAATTTGATGTTCGCATCCTAGTGTTAGCGGTGCGTCGTGGCAGTGCATGGATACGGCAGCGCAGCTCTGTAGGTGGGTGTGCAAGAGATTTGTGGAGTATGGCATATTGATATCCGGCAAGCTCAGCGGGGGCAAAAACTTCCCAGAAGACTGGCGATGCACGTCCCCCAGCCCAGTTTGGATGTGCTCAAAGTAGACATCGACTCCTACGACGGTGTGAGCTTTGGCTATGAATCAGCAACAGTCAGGAGAAGAAGCACATCGCACTGAAGAGTCAGTCTCGAGACTAACATCGCATAAAGCACAGCAGCCACGATGTTCATGGTCTTGAGAGCAGGATGGTGGTGAAGTGCTTCAAGCATTTGTAAAGCTGGAGAGCCAGCCAGCTCACTATGCGTGGTATCCCGACGCACGAGGACCCAGACTGGAACCCTCGAAACCCTAAAAGAACGAATTGCGCCCCAAGCCCTAACTGCGTCACTCACTAACATCCCATTTGTGTGGCCTGTCTGAATTTTTGATGGTGAGTTCAGGGTACCAGCCTGGGGTCTTTTCCGATTTGCTCTACGTTTTGTGGTCCAAGCAGGTGATCTGTTTTGTGGTCCAAGCAAATGGTTATGCAATTGGGAACATACGCCCAAATGAAGGCGAAAGAGGGTGGAGTGTATGTCCTTCATGCGACTTCCCCCCTCAGTCTAGATTCGCCCGTCTTTCAGGATCGTGGACGAATGTGTCCACCGCTTGGGCTGGCGTCCGAAAGTCATACAAGTGGAGGCACCGGCTTGTCACACTTTACACTTTGTGGTTGATTTTAGGAGGGTGTGTTGGCCACTGGAGGCTTTGTATGAAGGGCCCCTCCATCCCTTGTACATCGACGACACCGGTAACGACGACGAAGACGACAACAACGTCGCGGTCGGCGACCGCGACACGACTTCTCCCTCTCCTCTATCTGCTCCTCCTAAGCACTCCTGTGATGCTGCCGCTGCTGCTGCTACTGCTGCTGCTACTGCTGCTGCTCTTGTTGCGGAAGTCAAACACCAAAAGCTACGACTGGGACGACTATTCGCATGAGTTATGACGACGGATTGAGCTGTACTTATAGTGCCAAGCTGAGGAGCTTGCTGCGTTGTCTCGGAGTAGCTCTTTCTTGGCAACCAGAGAAATGCGTGCCACGTCCGTCCGAGGTGAATGCAGGCTTCCCTCCGCCTTTGCAGTACTCGCTCTTGGACTCGCCACTGCTGCGGGAGCACCTGCCCTACGTGGAGGCCATGCGAGACAGACTCGCTTCTTCGCCTTAAAGCAGCACCATGTGTTGGCAAATCCCACTAGACCGACAGGTTCGATGCCATTTTGTGTGTGGGTTGGGCAGTCGGCAGCATCCTGAACCCGAAACTTTTCTGCCGCCCGTGTGTGCTCCGAGATGGCGTTGTTTTCATGGAGTCCCAGTTGCCTGGCATGGGGTGTCCAGAGCATCTGTTGCATTGGAAGTGAATCACAGCATACGCTTATTGCTGCTTTACTTTCTTGCCCAGTCGTACCCAACATGGAAGCGCAAAGCTTGTTGTTAAATTTCTCTTCAAGTTTGCACCTCCGCAGCTCGTGTAGTCCACTAAGCTGTTCTCACGTATTGGAAGGTGCATGGGCCGATCTTCGGAGACAAGGCGAGCCAAGCAGTGAGCGCATGCTATTTCCATGATTATTCAGGCGTTTGTCACTGGTTCTATGCATGATGGTGCTGGTGCGAACTTTTTCGTCACACTCCTGGCTAGGTACTTTTATCAATTCTTGTGTTCGCATCCCAATTGACACTCTCGGTAGAGTGTTGGGGGCATGTGTGCTAGGCCATTCCATTGAAAACCATACAGCCGCAGTCCGTTCATTTGATGCTGGGGCGAGCCTGCAGGCTGTGTGTGAGCGGTAGGCAGTTCGCCATAGGCTATAGGTAATTGTTGCTCACTGTGCTTGATCGTTGCATTTGGCAAAGCTGTTTGCTACATCGCGGCCAGAGCCGACACTTTGATTCTCCTCCTACGTTTCTTCATTGCGATGCCGTGTCTCGGATGTTCAGGAGATGCGCCTGCAGATCAATTCCCCAATTGCAGGGACTTCACTGTCATATTATGCAACTCGGCATGACCCGCTGAAGCATGGACAAATTCGTCCTTGAAGCCTTAATGGAAGCCAACTCAGCGTGTTGTGTGTTCCAGGACCAAGGTGCAATTGCTGCCTGAGGGTTACGTGTCACTTCTGGAATTGTTGCACGGCGTGAAGTCGAACAGATTCCGTTTCCGCTGGTTCTTCCAATCACTTGAGTTACTCAACGGAGAGATCCGGACAGTGAGCCGGGTCCTTGTAAGGCATTTGCACAAGCATGAGGAAAGCGCAGTTGTAGAAGGAGGTGCTATCCTTCAACCGTGACCGTCTCAATTTTCTCTTCCCTGCTTGCTAGTGGTAGTCACTTTGTCGCTCCTTGCATAGAACGTGAAGAGTTGGAGCACAACGTCGGGGTGATTCCCTAGAATCATCTGACATGAATTGTGTGTACGAGCTGCATCGGTGCGGGATATCGGTGTCACCATGAACTTGATTTGGTAAGAGCTCATGCTCATAGGTGCCGTTGCAGTTCGTAGGATCATGGCATCAATTGTGCTTCGCTTCTCATTCGTGTGTGAGTACTTGAAAGTACAGGAGCTTTTCGCGCATCAGTAGGCTGGCGTTTCAATCCATTCTGAAAGCATTCTCAATAAGGTCGGCTTGGGGGGTTCGAGGGCTGCCGCATCTGTGTTACCGCCTTTGCCAAGCAGGGTTTTACGAGGTTCGCTAATTACCGATGCATGGGATCTCTCAAGGTGCAGCATCTGTGGCCCGTGTACGTGCTCTGGGACATTGTGAGCCCGGCTGGGTCCCCAACGATTTCCGCTGAACAGCTGGTATGCAGTGCCTTTCTCAGTGCCTCCTGATCCTAGTGACCCGGGGATAAGACAGTAGCGCCCAAAGTAGCACAAAGGCAGAAATGCGTGAAAGCCCACGCCTCTGGGAAAGTTATAACAGAATCCTGCCGACAGGGAATCAGCCGTTCTATGGTCGGAACGATTTCTTGCAACACCAACAGGTAAGAAGGCGATGTGAGCCTGCAGCAACCACACAACGGGATGCCTTGCAATAGCATAGCGAGAACAAGATGGCAGCATCAGGTAAGATCACTGTTGCCAGGCAATAGCAGTCATGGCGCTAAACAGCAGAGAGTATCACGGCAGACGAGAATTGGACGATACTAGCACGCAGTTGAGTCCAAGAAGATATGAATCAGCGTGCGGTGAATTCAGTAATGGCAAGACAGCCACAAGAAATAAAAGCTATCCTTACAGGAACAGGCGGTGATGGTACAGCAGTGTGGAGATGCAACAGAAGCCCAAGGCAATCTCGATCTTGCAGATGGTGAAGGGAGAACTTCATTTGTGGTGCTTGTTTGTATGTTTCGCCAATATGGAAGATGCGCAGTTTCCGAATTCATTGAACAACAGTCGACACCGGACCAACCCTGTCCACGACTGGCGCCATTTGGCTGCTGCTGGGCTTTTTCAGAACCACATTACCCGGCACCTCACCCCGACGTTCGAGGATGCCATTTTCTTGCGTGCCGACCTAGCAGAAGTCGCAGGGGTCGAGGCGACGACTGTTTCAGAAAGTAGGCGCAGGTGCGTCACGTGCATCCGCTGGCAAACTTTGGACTTTCAAGGACTTTTGCTTCCCGGGCTGGCTGTGCTTCTTCGGAGTGTAACCACGACAAACTTCCATGGGGCCTGAGTGGAGTTTCTGAGCACCAACTTTGCACGAATGATCCTGAAGCTCTGCAGCGAAAGCACCATGCTGACCCTCCGGCGGACCCCCGCCCTTCCACCAGGCGCTTGACGAGTTCCATGCCTTTGAATGGAGCTGGGCAGACATCCATAACTTCCACAGGCGAGCCACGGCGAGCCGCGAGCTGGTTGCTTGTTGATGTGTCGGTGTCGGCGGACACAGAACAGTTGATAGAAGGGGCCCTGCTATGCTTCAGCTTCTGTTTAAATGCGACCGGTTCTGCCTTGTTCGTGACCTGCACGAGTTTGATGTGCTTTTGGTTTAAATCTGTCGGACGGAAGGCACATGCATGCCGCCTTCAGGCTGATTTCGGATGTCCAAAAACATCATCTGATAGTTGTGCCTGATGAATCTGTCGTCGGTTTAGGCTGTGGAGGATCTGCAACATTTCGTCGCCCGAGTTTGGCTGCTGCACGGTGATGGTTATCTTCGGTCTTTGCGACCGTGCACGCATTCTGTCATTCTGATTCCAACTTGTTCAATGTTGATGTGCTGATGATCCTCCTCCTCCTCCTCACCATAGTCTCCTTCGACAACAAGATAATCGGTGGGTGTGTCATTTGCTAAGGCTTCCCTCGATATCCGTCCTCTCTACCCCGACCTGCGAGGGACTTGGTCCGGCGCTGGACCTTCGAGTTGGATGCCGAGGGAGCCCTTGGCGAGGTTGGCAGACCCACAAGCTTCGGGTGGGGGAGAGCTACGGTAGTACCTACTTCTACCACCACCATGACGACGACTACTACTAGTACTCCTGCTGCAACTTCCGCTACTGCTGGTGGTAGAGGCAGTGGTAGCAGTAGTAGCAACAGTGGTGGTGGTGGTGGTGGAGGTGGTAGTAGTAGTAGCAGTAGTAGTAGTAGTAGTAGTAGTAGTTGTTGTTGTTGTTGTGGTTGTTGTTGTTGTTGTTGTTGTAGTCTGGTGGTGGTGGTGGTGGTGTTGGTAGTAGTAGTGGTGGTTGTGGTAGTGATGGTGGTAGCTGGTAGTGGTAGTGGTAGTGGTAGTGGTGGTGGTGGTGGTGGTGGTGGTGGTGGTGGTGGTAATTCTAGTCCTAGTGCGAATCAGTGCTAGTCTAGTGCTAGTAGTAGTGTTAGTGCTAGTGCTAGTGCCAGTGTTCGTGCTACAGCGCCTGTTGCCTTTGTCACTCTGTTGCCGTTGCTGCTCCTCTCAAATTACTTCTGCATCTTTCTCCTGCTTACACTGACAGCGGAACGCCAACGGTGCGACAGCAGCAAGTCCGTGAAGTTGTATCGAATTTCAACCATCCCGCACAAGGCCTTCCAGTACATGGTGGACTGGATGAAGCAACATCTTGGCATCATCCTGCCATTCCACCTAAGCTTCTAGTTCGCGGAAAACGGGCGACTTTGCAGCCGTTGTTCATTCAGAACAGGCGGTCTTCCCTCTACATCCTGCTTTCAGAGTCGGCTTCCAGCAGCAGGAATCAGCGTCTCCGTTTTGTCACGGGCTGCTGCAATTGCAAAGAGTTGGAAATATGTTGGCGCTTTCACACAAATTGCCTTCAGTGCAGCAGTGCAATAGGTTTGGCGGGGTGGTATCGAGATTGGAGAGGTGGATGTCAGAGCAATATGCCAACCAAGTGCATGCAGACAGTTTCCTCAAGCGCGCGAGGCTCATGACGTCGATTGTGCTGGGTTGCTGAACCAAGTCGTGAGGAGCCTTTGTGACCCGAAGTGTAAGGTTGGAAGACCAGACCGAAACGGCTCCCGTCCCATTCTCAAGTATAGTGAGTGTAGCCCAAAACATGTAGACTCCGCAGAAGATCCTCGAGATTCTTATTGTGAGCAAAAAATTGTTGAAGCTTCTGTACCTGCACCGGTTCTTAGTGCTCATGAAGCGGCGGCGTGCCGTCCCATTGGCATGCGGTGGCGTCCTTCTGACAGGTGCCACCCGGGCTGCCGAGTAGCACAGTCGCCCAAAAAGCAGCCCGAAGGAAGGGGTGGAAACACGGCCAGAAGTCTACATAAAGGGGCAGAAGTCTTGTTCTGGCCTGTCCAGCCTCTTCCTGGCGCGCATCGCCCGGCTTTGCGCTGCCACGAGCCCCGGTGGAGGTTCCGTAGGGGATGGGCTTCCTCGTCGCGCGAGTCTACCTTTGCCGCGCCTTCAGCTCGCAAGGTCCCCTCCTCCTTCAGGGCGCAGTTTACCGTGCTGCCAGAGAACTTCTCCTGGGAGGAGGGCACCTGATAGGCCTGACAACAGCGTGAACACACAAGAGGAACACCTTGAAGCAAATTTGTCAGTCATGCCAACTACTGCAAATGCAGCCGTTGCTCGTCGTTCGTGCAGTCATATCCACCATTGCGGAGAGTCTGTAGATTTGCTGCCATTTGCTGCCGTTGCTCTTGCTCCAGGAGTTTGTGCAAGCGTCACAGCGGCCAGTGCGGCCGTGCGTGCGCGTGCCGCGCGGCAGAGAGAAATGATGCGGCTTCTAAAGACTTATGAGATCTTGGGATTGCTTGAGTGGTTCTTGAATCAAGGCTTCAGGACAAAAGGATTTAAGTAGTTCTGGTGGAGGTTGATTATGGGCGAAGGTCTTCCAGGTTGGTCGCTGGCTACTTGTGTAAGACTCCAGAGAAGGGCTTAAACGGACAAAGAGCAAGCTGACACAGGAATCCTCTGAAAGGTGGCGACGTCCGAAGTTGCTTGGCAGACGATGGAAAAGGGCCTTACCCGTGGCGCCTTTTAGGACCCCGTACCTGCGGCTCTCGAAAAAGGAGCTTGGGTTCATAAGCTTTCTACAGCGGCACACACGGAATCCATTCTCGTGAATGCCTCGGCCCCCGCCTTTGTGTTGCCTCCGCTCGTCTCCGTCCGCTACAGTAAGGCGTCCGGTGCCTGGGAGCCGCGAATGCTTGGCGGCTGGCAGGCGCCCCTTTTGCCCCCTGAGACGTCACATCCCACCCTGCAGTGCCCTGCAGACCCTGTGCCCTGGGCTGCTGATGGCTACTGGGTTCAGCGACCTTGGCTGAATGCGCGGGCGGTTTAGGGAAGTGATCATTGAGCTCAACTGACAGTGATACACAAGGATGAGGTCGCATGACTGGGACAGTGCATGCATGTGGATCCAGATACATAAGTACAAGATGCATCCAGGAAGATTTCCTACCCGAAGACCAGCACTGAGCCCTTTTCAGCTTGCACCGTAGGTCTGCATTGCTTCCAAGGCCCCTGAAGTCCAATGTTTTCTCCTTCGAGGAAGAGAAGGAGGCAAAATGTGCAGTAGGTTGCATCGGTAGGCTCATTCTTGAAGAGTCGGAAACGATTCCCAAGAGACTGCAAGTATCGTTCTTCCCTCGCAGTCACAGCTTACAGTTTAGCATTCAATTCTGTGCTTGGCAGGAGCTGCCTTCTGCCTGGGCGAAGCTTGCAGCCCAAAAGGCTCGAAGCGGGGGAGTGAAGTCTGCGAAATTCCCAGACGGGAGCCGACTCCTGGGTGAATTGGCACTGGTGCAAAGAGCAAGAGCAAAAGTTTCAACAGAGAAACGGATAGTGACCATTCCCATGAAGGTATATGACGATGCCTGTGGCTGCGAGATCATGTCGCCGATGATGGTGGTGACGGTGGTGATGATTCTGATGATGATGGTGGTGGTTGATGGTTGTGGTGGTGAGATGACGATGTGGATGGCGATGGGACGGGTCGTGGCGGTGATGAAGAAGAAGATGATGATTTTGATGAGGATGAGGATGATCATGATGATGACTATCAATGCCTTCGCAATTAGTCTCTTGCTGATGCTAGAATGCTGCTAGAAGACCCATTTAGAGTTTTGGAGCCCGAAAATTAGACTGCTTCGTCGGCGTTTTGCGGTTTGTAAGACAATCAACACATGATTCCTGTGTATCGGTACTGGTAACGGGCATGTAGGAAAAGTGTATCGAAGGCGCCAAAGAAGGGGAAACGACGGCTCACAGCAGAGGCCACGGGCATGGTCCTTGCCAGAGTTGCCCGGTTCAGTCTCGCTGGTCTGAGCTTAGTGCTTTGTGCAGGAGGTTTGGAAACCGATTGTTGGAGTGCCAGGCTCATGCTGCCACACGCCCCCATGCGCCAAGTACTGTCAGCTGGTCCAAGGTGGGCTCTCAAAACCACACGGTCACTGCGTCACTGGTTAGCCGTCGACACCGGCAGGATGGTGCAGCCCTGCTGGGCCGAGTCTATGTGCAGGAGGCACATGCTGCTGCGACGTGAGCCGCGAAATTTGCTTCGTCTCGCGTTTCCGGCTTGCTAGGCATCGTCCCTGCTGCCCGTAGCAGCGCTCCGCGACGCGGTGGGGGACACCCCGCCGGCAAGGCCGTCTGATTGCTTTTGCAACGGCACGACATCGAGTGCAGATTGCTGCGACGCATTCCACTGTTTCTCGCCGAAGAGGCGAAGCAAAGATTTTACGCAAAGCTCAAGATCACAAGTCAAAACACCAAGCACATCCAAGCGTTCCAAAGCCCGAAGAGAAACGCTTGGCCAGCTTCCGGGTCCTGGACCTGGCAGCCGCCCCGGGCGGGAAGACGAGTGCAGGGACCTCTGAGGTAAGTGCGTGTATGCGATGTGTACTTGCTTCTGCACCCATCTACTCCCCTGTCCACTTGTCTGCACGTCGCTGCGCTTGTTCGTTGGATTTATCCGTTTGCTAAGCGATTTCACCCATGTTTCGAAACTGTCAACCATGTCTATCTCCATAGTTTGCTATCTGGACTTGGCCATCGTTTCAAGCGAGCCGAGACAGTTGCAGTTGCAGCTGTCGAAGGGTTCAGCAGCTCTGCCATCCGGTCACACCCCTTTCAGCTTGCCTACCTTCAGAAGTAAGGACATACGCTCTCTCACACTTCGTGTGCGGCCGTCTGTATACATTCACATCTTGCTGAAGAGTAGGCGGAGGCGCGCTTCGAAGGATCTCTTGGCTTTTGGCCTCTTCTGACCTAGGTCCTCGTTTCAGTTCGACTAGAGGGTTGGGTTAAGAGTTAGGCCCTTGCTCGAGTGCCGCTTGCTGGGACTTGTCAACCGACCCTTGAGCTTGCCGATCAACCAACCCAGGCATTTACCGCAGTCTGCTCCTCCGGTTCTGCAGCTACCTGCCTCTCCATCTACCTGTCTGTCAATTTTTCCATCTATCTGTATCTCCATGTACTTCTGCGTCTCTCTTCGTGTACCTGTCTCGCAGCACGTATAGGTAAATACGAAGGACGTATATACATATCCTGGATTTCTATCGCCCTCTCTACCTTTATTCAGAAATCTGGCTGCCTACCTACCTACCTACCTACCTACCTACCTACCTACTTACCTACCTACCTACCTACCTACCTACCTACCTACCTATCTGTCTATCTATTTATCTATCTTTCTGTCTATCTATCTGTCTATCTATCTGTCTATCTATCTGTCTATCTATTTATCTATCTACGTATCGATCTATCTATCTGTCTATCTATCGATCTATCTATCTATCTATCTAGCTAGCTAGCTAGCTAGCTAGCTATCTAGCTATCTAGCTATCCGGTATTGACATGAACTCAAATCTAGATCCGCGCATTCAGTCACAAGGTGAGCAAGCAGGCAACCAACTCGGTAATTCAAACAATTACGTAAATGGACATAAGTACTAAGATAACTATACATAGGGAGATATGCATGAGTACAGAAGCACACGTGCTGAGCTATCTATCCGTCCGGTTGTCTGTCTCCCTGCCTGCCTGCCTGCCTGTCTGTCTGTCCATCTATCTATCTATCTATCTATCTATCCAAAACTCAACTTATCCAGATATCTCCTTGTCTGCATATACACCTGTTTATCTACTTGTCTTTCTATCCACGTCCATCTGTTTTTACCTACATACATACGTACATGTACACACGTAGGCCACACAGGTATGCATGTGTACACACACATCAAATAAATACATATATACATATGTACACGTGTAATCATATGCATATATACATACATATATACATCTAGAGCACAACGTACATGCATGCATAGACACATGCGCACACACACACACGTATATATATATATATATATATACATACACACACACATACACATATACATA